CTTAGCAGACCTTCCACCCGCACCAAAGGGAACAGCTGGCTGGGAGGGTGCTTGGGGACAGTCCTGAGCATAGTGAAATCCATGCCAGTGAATTCTGGGGACCAGCTGGGGATAAGCTGGGGGTGCTCTGGGGGAGAGGAGATCTGCAAACAGGAAAAAAGCTACAGGAATTGCCCCTGCCCAGCACCTTGTGATGACCATTTCCCCTCCCACCCTGTGTTCCCAGACTGCTCCCTCAGCAGACAACCCCAGCTCCCAAAACCTGCCAGCCAGGCTGCTGCTCCCAGCCAGAAAGAAGGTGATTTTAAAATGTACTTAAAATTAACTCTTTCTTATAAAAGTGGATGGGGCAGATGGATCCCCTGGAGAAGCCCCAGGCTGATTCCAGGGTTGGGACTGTCTGGGCTGTCCTGCCTTTGGGTTTTGCCAGGTCTCAAGTACCCAGAGCTGCTCAGAGCAAATGTTCCTGGCCAGGCTCCCCCTGCCATCCTCGGAGGCACCTTCGGGGCAGTGTCTGCCTGGCTGGGAGCTCGTTACCAACCCCTGCCCCCCGCTGCAAACAGCCCCTGGGCCGGCCCAACAGGGCAGGTTTCCTTCAAATGTCTCCATGGCTCACTAATCTTCAAACTTAGAAGGCCTTGGAAGTCTTTTGCAGGGAGTTTGAACTCATGTTTATTCCCTCTGTCAGTTGGTAACTGCCCTGTGGCACTAATGCAGCTGCTGGAGATGTTCTCTGGCTGCCCAGAGAAGCTGTGGCTGCCCCATCCTGGAAGTGTCCAAGGCCAGGTTGGACGGGGCTTGGAGCAACCTGGGCTGGTGGAAGGTGTCCCTGCCCATGGCAGGGGGTGGAGCTGGATGAGCTTTAAGGTCCCTGGCCACAGGGATTCCATGATTCCATGTGCACAGCCCAGCAGGGACACGGATTGCTGGTGACACACGGGTTGGGGGTGACACACAGGTTGGGGGTGGCACACGGATTGGGGGTGGCACACGGATTGGGGGTGGCACATGGATTGGGGGTGGCACACGGATTGGGGGTGGCACACGGATTGGGGGTGGCACACGGAGTGGGGGTGGCACAGGTTGGGGGCGTGGACAGGTGGGGTTGGGTTGGTGGCACCCAGGAGGTTGGTTTTGGGTTTGGTGGCACAGGTTGGGGTGGCCAGGATTGGGGTGGCACATGGATTGGGGGGGCACACGGATTGGGGGTGCAACAGGTTGGGGGTGTTTGGCAAGGTGGGGGTGGCACACCGGTTGGGGGTGGCACACAGGTTGGGGGTGGCACACAGGTTAGGGGTGGCACAGGTTGGGGGTGGCACACAGGTTGGGGGTGGCACAGGTTGGGGGTGGCACACAGATTGGAGGTGGCACACAGGTTGGGGGTGGCACAGGTTGGGGGTGGCACACGGATTGGGGGTGGCACACAGGTTAGGGGTGGCACAGGTTGGGGGTGGCACACGGATTGGGGGTGGCACACAGGTTAGGGGTGGCACAGGTTGGGGGTGGCACACAGGTTGGGGGTGGCACACGGATTGGGGGTGGCACACAGGTTAGGGGTGGCACAGGTTGGGGGTGGCACACAGCTCTCCTGCTCTGGAACCCTCGGCCGGGCCGGGGCCGTACCGGCAGCTCCACGTGTGCTCGGGCTGAGCCTGGGGGTGAGGTGATGCTTGTCCACGCAAAGACAGAGGGGGAAAGGGCCCCTTTTCCCCTTGGACAGCATCCAAACCACTATCTTCCCTTGTGCAGCCCCGCTCCCCCCCAGCCCCGACCAATGGCTCCGGGAACTGAGATTAGACCCAGCCTTGTATAAAAATGCCCGGGGCAGCCTCTGGCACCACTCCTGTCTCTGTGCAGGGACAGGCAGCCCCTCTGCTCGGCACCATGGTGAACTGGACAGCTGAGGAGAAGCAGCTCATCACCAGCACCTGGGGCAAGGTCAACGTCACCGACTGCGGTGCCGAGGCCCTGGCCAGGTAGATCCAACTCTGGGAACCTGCTCAGGGCACCTGGAGAGTGAAACCACTCCTATCACAGGAACATTAATGTCTCTATGGCTGTTTGTGTCTCTCCCCAGGCTGCTGATTGTCTACCCCTGGACCCAGAGGTTCTTTGCCTCCTTCGGGAACCTCTCCAGCCCCACGGCCGTCATTGGCAACCCCATGGTCCGTGCCCACGGCAAGAAGGTGCTCACCTCCTTCGGGGAGGCCGTCAAGAACCTGGACAACATCAAGAAATGTTTTGCTCAGCTGAGCAAACTCCACTGTGACAAACTGCACGTGGACCCCGAGAACTTCAGGGTGAGCCGTGCTCGGGCTCCAGCCTCGGCTGGGCAGAGGGGTCTGTCCTGGAGTGGGGTCCTGGAGGGGTCTGACAGACAGTGGGACCTGAGAGAAACCCTGAGACTGCCCCAGCCTGGGAGTCTGCACAGGGCAGGGGTGATGAAAGGGGAGGAACAGTCACATTTGGGGAGAACAGAGTCAAGTTATGGGGCTGAGATCTGTGAGAGGAGGGACCCAGGCAGGGGAGGAGGGTGGGGACAAACACAGACTCAAACACACTCCAGTGGGAAAAAACATCCCAGAGCAGCCCCAGAGCAGAAGGGAAGAAGCTGAGAGAGTTTGGAGGGAAGAGTTGAGCTTGGCTGTGATGCGGAGGTTAAACCAGGAGGGAAAATAAACACAGCCATTTCATCTGAGCCCAAGGACAGCCTGGGTGGGCAGGGATGGGAAAGGAAGGGATAAACCCAGTGGAAGCAGGGGGGGACACTGCACAGCAGGCAAGGGGAGCTGTCTGGGGAGGATCCAGCACACCCAGGGATCCTGGTGCGTGCCAGAGACACAATCTGTGCCCCGGGGCTGGGATTTGAGACCAATTCCTCAGTAACTGGTGTCCCCACATGTGTGACAGTGGGGAGGGGGTGGAGGGCAGCACCTGGCTGACAGCTTCTCCTCCCTGCCCTGCCAGCTCCTGGGTGACATCCTCATCATTGTCCTGGCCTCCAACTTCAGGAAGGACTTCACCCCTGCCTGCCAGGCTGCCTGGCAGAAGATGGTCCGTGTGGTGGCCCACGCCCTGGCCCACGAGTACCACTGAGCCCCCCGCCAGCATTCCTGCCTGGAGACACTCCTGGGGAATCCTCCTGGTCTCTAATTGCCAAATAAACACCAACTGCTCAGCCACGAGGTGTCTGGCTCTCTGTGGGAACAGGGAAGGGGCCGCACGGGGGCTGGGGAAGGCAGAGGGGAAGATCACACACATGGGGCAACGGGAGCCACGGTCTCATTCATGCAAGTGAGACTTGTCTAAGCTGGAGAATCCAGGGGAACATTCAGGACAAAACCCAAATAAACACCACAAAATGCAAAGAGAAACACTCTGGTGCTTTTTGGAGACATCGGGTAACACTGTTTGGTTTAATTTTTTAAGCCTTTCACAGAGTAAGTGGAACAAAACTGAACAAAAATGTGCAGTGAGAGAAGGGACAGGGAGATTGGGTCCATCGTTTGTCACTTCCTTCATGTAAGGAAAAATGTGGGGCAGTGTTGGGTTTTTTGTTCCTTTGTCTGGTTGGGGTTTTTTGTTTTGTTTTTTTTTGTTCTGGTTTGTTTGGTTGGGTTTGGTTTGTGGAGGTTTTTTTGCCTAAATCATTGTCATTCTCAGATTAGCAAGGGCAGAATGTAATAAACACAACTATCAAGGCCAGGTTGGACGGGGCTTGGAGCAACCTGGGCTGGTGGAAGGTGTCCCTGCCCATGGTAGGGGGGGATGGATGGGCTTTGAGGTCCCTTCCATCCCAAACCAGTCTGGGATTCCATTAAACACTGCACTGCTGGGTGTGGAGGGCTGGGGACAGTGTCATCCCTGGACTCTTTGGCCAGGCCCCCTCTTGTGTTGAGCAGTCAGAGGAGAACTGGGGCCCTCATTAGACACGACAGCAGCTCATGTCCATGCAAACACTTTTCTCCAGGGCCATCCAGGCCCCACGGGGACATTCCTGCACCCCACAAGCTCCATCCCCATCCCCGACATCCCACCCCACCACCCCCAGCTGGGAGCAGGAGCAGATCTGCAGCCCCGGGAGACCCAACTGCCTCTCCCACCTCTCCGCAGGACCGCTGCTCCTCAGGCTGCCAAATCCCTGGGTCAGGCACTGTCTCCTGCTGCACATCTGTGCAGATGGTTTTTCTCATGGAAAGGGTGGTCAGGCTGCCAGGGCCATGGCAGGGGCTGCCCAGGGAGGTTTGGAGTGCCCAGCCCTGGAGGTGTCCCAGGAAGGCCTGGCCGTGGCACTCAGTGCTCTGGGCTGGGGGGCAAGGTGGGGATGGGGCACAGGGGGGATCCATGGGCTGGGAGGGCTTTTCCAGCCCCAGTGATCCTGGGATTCTGTGACATCCCAGTATACCCAGTCTTCCCACCTCTCCTGGGGCCCTGTGAGCCAACACCCTGCAGGCAGTTGGTGTGTCCTGGGTTATAACATCTCCTGTCCAGCCCCGTTGACCTTGGCCAACAGACTCTTTGAGACAGGAGCTCTCTCTTGGCTGCAAGGCCCTGCCATGATTTTAGTAGTGTCGCCCTAAAGTTTTCAAACTCTCGAAGAGCTGATGGGAAAGAACAGGGAGAACCCAAAGCCTGACAGGTCCTGCAAGAAGAGGAGAAAGAGAAACTGGTGCATTCAGAGGGAGAACCCAAAAGCCCCACGTCTGAGCCTCCTGCCCTGGGGGTTTGCACCACGTGAGGGGCACCAAGCCCGGCAGACGCCGTCCCTGGGGGCTGCCGTGGGACTGCAGACTCGGGTGGAGATAATGCCACCCTGCAGCAGGGCTGGAAATCAGGGACGGCGCTGGATCTGGGCACCTTGCCCTGGGCCCCACCCTGGTGTGGGGTCCCCTCCCTCGGGGTGCCCGGGCCGCGGGGCCCCCCCGGGGGCACAGCCAATGAAGGGGTGCCCGGGGAGGAGGAGGGGCCCAGGGAGAGGATAAAAGCGGGGCTGGCAGAGCCGTCCCCAGCGTGCGATCCCTCGGGAGCCAGAGCCCAGCCTCCTCCAGCACACGCAGCCCTCCAGCCGACGCCATGGTGCAGTGGACAGCCGAAGAGAAGCAGCTCATCACCGGCCTCTGGGGCAAGGTCAACGTCGCCGACTGCGGCGCCGAGGCCCTGGCCAGGTAGGTCCAGCCCCGGGAACCTGCCCCGCCGCGCCGGACGGAGACCACCCTGACTGTGGGAGCGTGACCCTGACCCTGCGCCCGCTTGTGTCTCTCCCCAGGCTGCTGATCGTCTACCCCTGGACCCAGAGGTTCTTTGCCTCCTTCGGGAACCTGTCCGGTGCCACCGCCATCCTCGGCAACCCCATGGTCCGCGCCCACGGCAAGAAGGTGCTCACCTCCTTCGGGGACGCCGTCAAGAACCTGGACAGCATCAAGAACACCTTCGCCCAGCTGTCCGAGCTGCACTGCGACAAGCTGCACGTGGACCCCGAGAACTTCAGGGTGAGCCCTGTCCCCCCATGGCAGTGTCCCCCCAGCCCCGACCCCCTCCCCGGGAGGGATTTACCCCAGATGTGGGGCTGCAGGAGGAACAAGAGGGGCTGGTGCTTGGAGTGAGGGGGAGAGGCAGAGGGACCAACCTGCTGCCTGGTGAGAGGGTGCAGGGCAGGGTGCCTGGGGCAGGAAGGGGTTGAGGAGGTGGTTTCAGTGCAGGAAGGGACGGGGAGAGCAAAGAGAAAGCAGTTGTCAACAGAAAGAGGTCTGAGCCAAGGGGAAAGCCAAGGAGCAAGAGTGGAGCAAGAGTGAAGCTTGGCATGGAGGAGAAGGGAGAGATGAGTGAGGAGGGCTGGATGCCAAAAGCAAGAGAAGATCTAGAAGGAAAGAGAGCTTTGGCTCCTGCGTTTGTGCAGCTGAGAGTTCCCCAGTGGGGAATTAACCCTGACATTCATCCCCGGGGCTGGCAGAGATCCCCCCATGTCAGCATGAGCTCGTTGTTTGTGCCAGGGTGCCCAGTGCCAGCTCCCTGCCATGCTGGGAGCTCAGCTGGGTCTTCTGCTTGGGAAAAACTCCCAAACAGAGACTGAAGGGAGAAAGAAAAATTTAATCAACAAAATTCCTGGAGAATTTTCGGTTACTCTTCTCAGAGGGTATCAGAACCTGAACCTTTAGAGTAAGAGCAGAGACCAGGTTTAAGGTGCATCTTAAAAGGGCTTCAGGGAGGTTTTCGAGGCTACAGATTTCCTGGAGGCTGCCCTGGGTGTACCGTGAGTGCTTGTGCGGGGCATTGCTGACCTGAGTGTGCTCTTGTCCCCCCAGCTCCTGGGTGACATCCTGATCATCGTCCTGGCCGCCCACTTCGGCAAGGATTTCACCCCCGACTGCCAGGCTGCCTGGCAGAAGCTGGTGCGTGTGGTGGCCCACGCCCTGGCCCGCAAGTACCACTGAGCAGCGAGGAGCGCCCCGGCAGCGCCGCGCCCGCTGCCCCGAGCCGCTTCCAACAGCAAATAAAGCTCAGCCTGTGAAGCCTCCGCCGAGTCTGTGTGTCCCTGAGGGGCTGGAGGGCTGGGGGGACACGGGCACGGGGCTGGGGTGTCAGAGGGAGCAGGGTCCCAGGGTCCCCTGTCGCGTGTGGGCTCAGTGGTTTGTGTGGGATTTGCCTCTGGGAACTGTGCCTTGGGGATATGGGGTTGGTCCGGCCCTGCCACCCCCGTGTCACACGCTGGGGAGTTTGCACTGAGGAACTACTCAGAATTTTATGTGAAACCTGCGTGTCTCTCCCAGACAAGGGGAATTGGGAGGATTCATATTGTTGGGGGAGGAGGATAAACAAATTGAAGACTTTAATCTTCCCTGGCTCATCGCTGGCATCAAACCCACCCAAAATCAGCTGAGTCACACTGGCCCAGCAGCCAGCTGGGTGGGGGCAGGTTTGAGATAAACATTTTGCTATCAAGGCCTGTCCAGACCTTGTTTATTCACTTCTCTCCCACCCTGCGCCGCCCACGCTGCAGTTTGGGGGGGTCCAATCCTGCCGAGGGCAGAGACTCACCGTGTTGTGGATGCGAGGAGGGATCAGTGCTCTGCACACGCGGAGTGCTGGGTGGGTTTGGGTGTCTGCAGAGCAGGACTCATCCGGGCAGAGCCTGTTCTTGGCATGGGAAGCGCCGTCTGAACGGTGACGCAGCAAAAGGGGGGGAACTGAAGGGACTCGCTCATTTTTTAAGGGGAAACATTGGGCCAAGCTATTTATCCCAGGATCTCTGCCCTAATCCTGCTTCAGCCACGTTCCTGGGCACTCCACTATCAGCCCTGTCCCACGGGAGGGTGTTAAAAACCCTCTGTGACCCATAAATGCCCTTTCTCACACACGTCTCCCAAAGGAAGAGGCATTTTGTTCCTGGTGTCAAGGCAGACACTGAGAAGGTGAGAAGATGAATTGCAGGGAGTCCCAAAGGGTTTTTCTCCCTGCAGGGAGGCTGGGCAGGCACAGGGGCACCAGAACCCCCAAGTTCTTCATGATTTTTCATAAGTTTCTTTATAGATATTAATAGTTTTGTATGAACATGATTGTTCACAGACTTCAGGCAGAAATGACTGAATTATTTGCATAAGTAGTTCTCCTGTAAGTGAGGTGTGTGGGGGTAGGAATGACTGGAGAGCTGGAGAGGGACTTTTACAAGGGCCCGGAGGGACAGGACAAGGGGGAATGGCTTCCCACTGCCAGAGGGCAGGGTTAGATGGGATATTGGGAAGGAATTCCTGGCTGGGAGGGTGGGGAGGCCCTGGCCCAGGTTGCCCAGAGAAGCTGTGGCTGCCCCTGGATCCCTGGAAGTGTCCAAGGCCAGGTTGGACGGGGTTTGGAGCAACCTGGGCTGGTGGAAGGTGTCCCTGCCCATGGCAGGGGTGGCACTGGATGGGCTTTAAAGGTCTCTCCCAACCCAAACCCCTCCATGATTATATGACTCTCTGAGCCAAGTAGACCTCTCAGGTCAAACCCTACAGATCAGCCCAGCAGGACAGGGCTGGGCTGGAACTCCTGGGGTTCCTTTCAGGGTCCCCCTTCCTGGGAGCAGGGAGAAGGGGCATGGCAGGATGGGAACAGTCCCTGCTCCCAGTCCATGCTGTCAGAAGGTCCCTGTGGGTGCCAGCACCCCCGGGCGGTGCCTGGAGCAGCACTGGCAGCACCCAGGTCCTGGCAGGGCTGATAAGGGGGTGCAGGGGGGGGCACTGGTGCCTGGCAGCATTTTCCCTGCATGTTCTCTCCCCCCTGACTGCACCCAGGCTGGGCTCAACTTGATTTGTCATCGTGCTCCAGCCCCCCACACTGGGTCTTCTGGAGAAAAGACAAATGTAGGCAAATCTAATGAAGGTTATTCATCCCTATTCCATTAAAAAAAGGTCTACAACTAGAGGGAGAAAGCAATATTGTCAGGCTGGAAATGTCCCTCAGTATTTTCTTTCTTTGAATTGATTTTCCTGCCGTATTTTCAGTACAGAAGACACTTGGCAGGAGATGGTCTGTGGAGGAAGGCAAGAGCTGGTGTCTGGAGAGGAGCTTGGGCAGCCCTGCCCCTCTGCTGCAGCCTGGCCACGCAGCCACCCCCTCAGCTGTCCCCAGCTCTTCCCTAGCCCAGCCCAAATCCTGTGGAAAACAACGGGAAAACAGCAGATTCCTCCGGGTGCCTTGGAATCAGCATTGAAGCCCCTGTGCTTTCAGCAAGGACGGTGTTTCTTGGGGTTTATGCAGGAAACAAAAGAGGGAAGCTCCCCAGGGCACTGCTCCTGGCTGGGATGCAAAACCCCTGGGTGCTGAGGTGTGTCAGGGCAGCCTGGATGTCTCCTCCTCAGAGCACAGCCTGGCTGAGTGGGGGTGGCTTGTGGAATTTGGCAGGTTCTGAAGGGGAAGGCCCTGGGCTCCCCCCAGGCTGGACAGCCCTGAGCTGAGCTTTTGCTGCTTTTTGAGCCCACAGCAGGTCCTGCAGTGACAAACCTGGTGTTCTAAGCCTGTTTCACCCCCCCTTTATGGATGTGGCTGGAAGCAGAACTGAGATGAGCAGGATGGTCCTGTGTGGTCCTTGCTCCCTGTCCAGCAGCACTGCATTGGGCTGGTCCTTTCACATCTGAGGGGAGAACATTTGGGTGAACTTACCACGGGAGGAGGGTGGAACAAGACAAGCTTTAATGTCCCTTCAGCCCAAACCAACCTGTGATTCTACCAGAGGACATCCTGAGTTGGGAGGGACCAACAAGGATCATGGAAATCCAGTTCTGAACCTGGACTCTGAAATGCAACTATGATTCTTCCTGCTCCAAAAGGCACAAATAAATCAAACAGGTCAAGTTCTGTCATGGGAGAGGGAAAATGAGGCTAATGCAGATTTGGGCTGCAGAGCCTGAGCATCCTCTGAATAGCTCCAGCACTGCCTCAGCTCCTGGTGGTGCAGGGAGTCCTCGGGCAGGGCAGGGCAGGGCCCTGCACAGTTTGCTGGGGAAAAACCCCTCGGGGTCACTCTGCCAGGGGCTGGATTTTGGCCTGGACATTCCTCATTTCAATGAGGGAAGGCAGAGCCCAGTGTTGGGAATGCTGAGGCACCAGGCTCACACCTCTGAGTCCAGCTCAGTGGCGATGGACCATCACCCCCCCAGAGGGGCCCACGCCTGGAAGGTGAGAGGAGAGCTGCCCTCACAGAGGGGAAGGGACAAATCTGGAGCTCAGGATAACCAGAGGCCCCTTCTCCGTGTGCCACACCCTGGCCATCCCCTCCTGCTCCCCCTCCTGCTGGAGGGGACCCCCCCATCCCATGGCCCCTCGGGAAGGGCCGGGGAGGGGCTGCGGGCAGGGATAAAAGGCCGGCGGGGTCTGGGCTCAGCTACGGGGTCTGTGCCCTCCTGCAGCCCAGCAGAGCAGCCACCATGGTGCACTGGTCAGCAGAGGAGAAGCAGCTCATCAGCAGCATCTGGGGCAAGGTCAACGTGGAGGAATGTGGGGCCGAGGCCCTGGCCAGGTACGTCCAGCCCCGGGAACCTGGAGAGAAACCCGCCAGGAGACCGAGGCAGCTGCGTTTGGGAGCATTAACACATCTGTGTCCCTCCATCTCTCCCCAGGCTGCTGATCGTCTACCCCTGGACCCAGAGGTTCTTCTCTAACTTTGGGAACCTCTCCAGCCCCACGGCCATCGTTGGCAACCCCAAGGTCCGCGCCCACGGCAAGAAGGTGCTCACCTCCTTCGGGGAGGCCGTCAAGAACCTGGACAACATCAAGGGCACCTACTCCAAGCTGTCGGAGCTGCACTGTGAGAAGCTGCACGTGGACCCCGAGAACTTCAGGGTGAGCCGTGTTTGCTGTCCCAGCCCCTGCCCTGGGCCCTGTGGGCAGAGGCAGATTTTGCTGTTGCTTCAAACAACCCTGTCCAGGGGCACTTGCCTGGGCGGTGGGGGCAGAGTCCCTGTGTCCCAGGAGAGGTGGCAGCTTGTGCAAGGGCTGTTTGCAACAGCGTGGGGGACTTCACCCTAAGAAGTCCCACTTGCGGTGCCAGCACAGCACCGGGGAGGGGCAGATACTGGGAGATGGTTACCGGGAGGAGATCGGGCTGGGGAACGACCCCAGGGGAAGGTGCAGCATGGGCTGGAGGAGGAGGAGGCAGAGGGAAGCTCAGCAGAGCATTTCAGGAAATCCAAGGTCTTACAGCAAGATAAGCAGAACCACAGAGCAGAGTCCTGCCCGGAGTGCGGGTGGGACGCTCCCCACTCCTCCAACGCACTCAAATGCAAATGAATCATTGTCTTCATTTAGACCTAAAAAGAGAAAGAAAAAACCCACAGTTTTTTAGGGTGGTTCTCAGGCCAAATTGCTTTAATGTTTTCAAGGTTCTTTCTTTCTGGTTTTATTTTATATTTAAGAATGCAGTAAATATTGTTTTCCAAAAATTCAGAGCTTTCTATGGAAAGGCTGAGGATTCTGCTGTCGCAGTCCCAGGGCACAGGGAGAGACACGCCCATAACCAGCCCCACAGCCCGAGGGGCTGGGGAGGAAGAGGAGGAGGAGTGTGCAGTGTGAGAGAGTCCGTGCAGGAGGGGAATTCAGCCTCAGGGAGAAGTCAGGGCAAGGAAACAGCTCGTGGGTCGTGGGTGGTGTCGGGGGCGGACGGGAAGGAGAGGGACTGGGGGGGGTGGGGGTGGAAATCTGCAGCAGGAAAACCGGGGAGAAATAAAAGGAGAAGCTGTTCGGAGCCAAAGGCACGGCAGGACACGGGGGAGCGGAGGGAGCGCGGACATCCGGAGCTCCGGGTGGGCTGTGGCACAGCAGCACTGACCCTGCCTGTCCTCCTCCTCCTCCTCCAGCTCCTCGGAGACATCCTCGTCATCGTGCTGGCCTCCCACTTCGGCAGGGATTTCACCCCCGCCTGCCAGTTCGCCTGGCAGAAGCTGGTGGGTGTCGTGGCTCACGCCCTGGCCCGCAGGTACCACTGAGCCCCCCGGGCAGAGCGGGAGCACGGGGGGATGTCCCGGGGGACCCCTCGGGCCGTGACCGCCAAATAAAGGCCTCCAGCATCACCCGCAGCGTGTCCGTGTGTCTGCGCCGGGAGCGCGGGGCCAGCGCGGGCTGTTCCCGCTCGCCAAAGCTGTGCCAGGGCGAGATTCCACAGCCCCGCAGTGCTCCCTCATGTGCGAGCGCTGCCAGTGCAGGGCTGGCACAGAAACCCGGGGAGGGTCCCGGGAACAGGGAGGGATTGCAGCGGGGATCACGGGATCGTGGAGTATCCACAGTTGGACGGGACCCCCAGGGATCGTGGAGTCCAACAGCCGGCCCTGCACAGGACACCCCAACAGTCCCCCCGTGTCCAGGAGCACTGTGCAAATCCGCTCTCCCAGCTCGGCAGCACAGCGGGATGAGGAGAAGCCAGCACAGAATTCCCTGTCCAGGTGCTGTGTCCCCAGGGAGCTGGTGACTGCCGTGCCCAGCTCCAGGGCTGGGGATGCTCCTGGGAGAGCACCTGATCCGGGAGAAAAGCTTTGAACTCGGGCCCCTGGGAGGCTCAGGAGATGTTGGAGAGGGGCTTTGGACGAGGGCCTGGAGGGACAGGACACAGGGAATGGCTTCCCACTGCCAGAGGGCAGGGTTAGATGGGATATTGGAAGGAATTCCTGGCTGGGAGGGTGGGGAGGCCCTGGCCCAGGTTGCCCAGAGAAGCTGTGGCTGCCCCTGGATCCCTGGAAGTGTCCAAGGCCAGGTTGGACGGGGCTTGGAGCACCCTGGGCTGGTGGAAGGTGTCCCTGCCCATGGCAGGGGGTGGGACTGGGTGAGTTGAAGGTTCCATCCCACCCAAACCATTCTGTGATCCCATGATTTCCATGGTGAGCTCCAGGAGGAGAGGTGGCATCTCCCGATGGATGAGGAACCACAACCACAGAGCACAACCATTCTCTGATTTCTATAATTTAACATTATTTCCCAATGCCTTTTCCTACCCATTTCCCCAGGAAGGAATCCCTGAAATCTGTTCATTATTGCTCTGTGCTACTGTGGACATTCCCTTCCTTTCCCAAGCAGCACTGTGTGCAGCTCATTCATCAAAGCTTTGTGATGCTGTCCCAGGTTTGAGAGAAGCTGCAGTGGGAGAGAACAATCCATCATCTTGCTGGAGGGAACTTCCCTCCATTCCAGGGCTGCCTGACACAATTCAAAGGGATTCAGGAGTTTTGTCAGTTCTAAACAAGACCTGAACCAAATCTGTGCTGATTGCAAATCCTTTCAAAGAATTCTTATTCAAATGTCAGTCAGGAGCAGGGGAACCAGGGGACTATCAGGTGTAATTATTTTTATCTGGCCTTATCCCCACACTTATCAAAATTACAGGAGCAGAAAAAATCCCGAGTTCACTTCTTAGCATAAGCCAAAAATACTGTTTAAGCAGCTCTGTGCTGCCCCTTCTGGGGTTGTTTATCAAGTATTTATAGGCACATCTTTACACCTCTCCAGGGAATTCTGGCAGGAGTGGCAGTTCCAGGAGCCAGAGCCAGCGGGGCTGGAATTCAATCACAACAAAATCAGCCACCCCTGGGGCGTGTCTGCCGTGTGTGACACCCTGCTGGAGCCAGGGTGACTGATGAGGTCCTTGCTCTGATCTTGTAGATGCATCACTGCTTTTGAGAAGTAAATGAAGATGTTGTTTGCTCCAAGAACCAGTGTGGAAATTCCCAAGTTGCCAAATGAATCCCTGCTCCTGCAGCGACCTTTCTGGCAGGTTTTGATGCCGTGTGTTACCTCACAGAGGTATTTGGACAGAGAGTCTCTCTGCCTGTGGAACAAAGGGGATCCTTTCAGCTTTCCTAGCCCTTAGGATGGGCTGAATCCATTGGGCCAAAGCAACCCCCCAGGTGAGACTGGAGGGACGGGACCAGCTCTCCTGGCTCTCTTCCATGAGCCCCCTGTGCCAGGGCTGGCTGGGAACAGGACCACGACCTTGTCCCGTGTCACTGGCACAATCTGGTGCCATGGCAACTGCAGCACTGCTGCAAATCCCCTCAGAATATGTGGATATTAAGAGATGTTTGATTCACCTGCCTTGGTGACTTTGGAGAAAGGAAGGTTGGAAACCCCAGAGCGACTTGTCAGAGTGGATCTGCCTCACCTTTCCCTTGTTCCCCCCCTTCCCTCCTCCCTGTTCTCTTAGTGCCCTTCCAGCCCAAATGCTCTGCAGTGGAGACCAGGCCCGTGCAGGGATCACACTTCTCAGCTGATGAGGACCTGTCCTTCCCTATCCTGAAGTCTCACCTGGCTGGAAGGGTGGGAGTTCTCACTGCCCGGCACGGAGTGACCTCAGAGACCAAACCATCCCGTTTGATGTTGTTGGCAGTGTTTTGTCGCTTCTCCCTCAATCTTTCTTTGCCCAGGTCAGGCCCCTGTGGCTGTGCAGACAGGGCACCATGCACCTCCCTCTCCCCAGCCCTTTCCCAGCCCTCTCTCCACAAAGTTTTGTTTGGGAGGACTTGAATCTTCCCAAGCACACAGAGGAGGGACAGTGAGGCTTGTCAGAACCCCAGAATCACTGAGGTTGGAAAAGACCTCCAAGATCATGGAGTCCAACCTTGCTGAGCACTCCCAAAGTGCTGATCCAGGTCCTCTGGTGACTCCCTGGGAGCTGGAGATGGGGCTGTGCAGCCCTGCCCAGCCAGGACTGAGCTGTCACAGGCTCATCCATTGGCACAGGAGCTGATTACCCTCTGGAGCTGAGTCCCACTCCTCCCCCAGGGCACAGCACCCACTGGGCCGTGGGGATTCATCCTGTCCCCGTGTGCCTTCATTGCTTTGTGTCTGACAGGGACAAAGAGAAAACCAGGATGGGAAAAGCAGGCAAAGAGTATTCCTGCCTCAGCCTCACTGTGCAGCAGTCCAGGTGAACAGCTCTGTGGAGGGGCAGGATGCCCACTCTCCGGGCAGCCCCATGGGTGCAGGTTGGGCCTTTTCCCAATTTTTACCCATATTTATCAGGCCAGAACAGCAGGTGATGTATGGAGTGGATAAATCAATATTTCAACTTCTGTGGGCCACCAAAGCACATTTATGGTGATGAGGAGGCATCACCCAGGGTTGCACACCCAGACTCAAATACCTCAGTCTGCATTTTCATGCTGAAGACAATCCCAGCAGGCTGGAGAGCTGTCTGCTAATTTAACTTATCAAGCTAATTACTGGGCTGCTGCAGTGCCAAGTGGAGGCGCAGATGTCTGAGCTGTGTCTGAGAAGTGGGGCAGCAGAAAATGGACCAATTCCATTTCTCAGGGCACGCACGGGAGTTCAGCCCCCAATTAAACAATGCCAAGTTCCCTGTTTACACAGGCAGATGGAGCGTGAATTCCTTGAGTGCTGAGGGCTGGAAAAGTTTAACTTCTTCCACATCAGCCCCTGAAAAGAGCAGAGGCCAAGCCAAGAAGATCATTAGCGTCGGCTCCAGGGGCATTTTATAACTCACTTTTAATTTTTTCCTCATAACCCCACAGGCACGGGTCTGGGTTCAAAGCTTGAGCCCTTTAAGCATTGATTTTCTGTTTTAATTTGTATTCCACAGAGCACAGCATTCCCCTGGGGAGCCCGTGGGCTGGGGGCTGGGAGCCCTGGGCTGACAGTTCTGTGGGAGAAAGGTGGCTTTGTGCACACCTTGCCTAATTCTACCCACAGCTGTAGCTGCAGCAACAACATTCCTGCTAAGAATTATAGTTGCTCTGTATTCTCCTAATAAATATCAACTGAAATACCCGGCACTGGGAGCAGCCTGGGCTGTGGCTCTGGCGGCAGCAATTGGAATGGTTCCGAGTAAACTCGGAAGTGAGGGGGAACGGGAAGGTTCCAGATTTGCCAACAGACCTGCAGGAGTGCCCGTGCCCCCTCCCCAGCACTGCCATGGCTCCCACCCTGGGGCTGGCCAGGAGGGGTGTGCAGGGGCTGTGGTACCATGAGGGGATGGATGGTCAGGAGGGGTGTGCAGGGGCTGTGGTACCATGAGGGGATGGATGGTCAGGAGGGGTGTGCAGGGGCTGTGGTACCATGAGGGGATGGATGGTCAGGAGGGGTGTGCAGGGGCTGTGGGTCCCTGAGGGATGGTCCAGGAGGGGTGTGCAGGGCTGTGGTCCATGAGGGGAGGTCGGGGGGTTTTGCAGGGGCTGTGGGTGCCATGAGGGGATGATGTCAGGTATGGGGGGCAGGGTGCTGTGGTACCATGGGGGATGGATGGCCAGGCTGGGGTGTGCAGGGGCTGTGGTACAGGGGCATGTGGTACCATGAGGGGATGGATGGTCAGGAGGGGTGTGCAGGGGCTGTGGTACCATGAGGGGATGGATGGTCAGGAGGGGTGTGCAGAGCAGGGGCTGTGGTACCATGAGGGGATGGATGGTCAGGAGGGGTGTGCAGAGCAGGGGCTGTGGATGCCATGAAGGGGTCGAGGGTCATGGCCCACAGCAGCCCTGAGGTGCAGGATGGAGAAGCAGTGACTGAAGAACATCTGGGCAAGGCAGGTGTCAAAGGTGGGCTCCTGTGAGCCCAGAGCAGCACCCTGAGCACCGTGGCAGCGTGGACAGACACACCGAGCTCCAGCATGGCCAGCAGGCACAGCAATGGGAGCATGGGCTTGTGGAGGCTGCGCTCAGCTCTGATGCCAAGGAGGGCTGCACTGTTTCCCAGGGTGGAAATGACGTACAGGCAGCAGAAAGGGATGGCAAGCCACACATTCCCACTTCCCACTCCCGGGATTCCTGTTGGAAGGAAGGTAGAAGGTCTAAGGAAGCAGCTGTTGCTCTCTTACCTAGTGCAGCATCTTTGTCGTGTCAGAGATCCAGCAGCAGATCCTGCAGCAGATCCTGCTCATCCTGCAAAAGAATTCACAGAACCCACAGAACAGCAACCAGGACACACAGCAAAGCTTTGTGTCGCTGCAGGAATCTGGAATTCTGACTTGGCAGCAAGAAGGAATTTTACCTTTGTGATCAGCTCCCAGCACAGAGAACCACAGCTCCTAGAAGTCAGAAAGCTGCTGGAGATGGAGGAGGCAGTGCCTGGCTGATGGATTTTGG